GCCACGCCCCCGGCCTCACTCCAGCCCTCACCAACTCATCTTGAAATGGTCCTTTCTGATCATCACAATAAATGCTACTGTTGTTTCAGATAGTATGTTTTCTGTCTGGTAACGAGTGCCTAGCCATTTCCAGTTACTACAGGAGACTTGCCTGTGCTTGAGTGGGCCTCTCCAGTGCCACAGCTTAGTTTTGGGAATCGTGGGGCCAGTAGGGAAGTTGTTGGGAAGCCAGTGGCTGATAGAAATGGAAAGTGGGTTTGGTTCCGTCTCCGGACCCTCACCCCGGTGCACCGGTCAGCAGTCACAAATGTCTGCATGTGTTGTGTCTGCTCATTCTGTCAGAAAACCGGGAAGGTTTTAACAATGGGGTGTTTAAGAAAAGCTGCCTGTTTGTACTCTTCCGCCTCACGTCATAGTGCGTTTTGTAACAACCTAATTGTCATGATATCTATTTCAAGGGGAAACTCACAGTCCGTCTCCTGTTTGGAAGATGTATTTGAGGATGTGGGCAGAAAGTATTTTTACATAAAGGCTGTGGGCAGTTCAGAGTACCGACACGCATACATTTTCATCCCTGCCATTCACTCCCTGCCTCACGTAAATAGGTCATTATTTCACTTCAGCCATCGTGGTGTCTCACAGCGTGGAGCTCTATTTAACGTAACCGCTACCCAGCTGCCCCGAGTAATTTATGGGTGACATCTCTGGGCCACCATCATCAGCCCAGGCAGTTAGATATCTTTCAGCAAAGTATTTCATTATCACTTATAGTAGTTTTAGATTAGTTTTACAGCCATGTTAACATGGCTAGGAATTGGCATTTTCCGAGACGGGATTTCAGGTCGGCCTTAGAAATTTCCAAAGATGAATACAGCAGTGATGGTCCCGTCGTGGGTGTTCTGGGCACAGCCAGGGCCAGCACTGCAGATGCCCCCGCTGTCCCTGAGTGGCTTCCCCATAAGGACACATTAAGGTGATCTGGTCTTACATTACTTCATTAGAAGTAATAATTAAGAATATTTAGCCAAAACTGGTTTGGCTCAGTGGATAGAGTGTCGGTCTGTGGACTGAAAGGTCCCAAGTTCTATTCCGGTCAAGGGCATGTACCTTGGTTGCGGGCACATCCCTGGTAGGGGGTGTGCAGTAGGCATCTGGTCGATGTTTCTCTCTCATCGATGTTTCTAACTCTCTATCCTTCTCCCGTCCTCTCTGTAAATATTCAATAAAATATATATTTTTTTTTAAAAAGAATATTTAGGCTTTCTCAGAAATAACCCCTTGGGTTTTGTTTTGTTACCTTCATTGCTTAAAATCATGGTCAACTCTCTCAACTCTTAGGCAAATATTTTGTGGCCTGAATATGAATAGAACATGCCACTCAGAATATGCTAGGATTCCAGGTAAAGACTAAGAGTATCTAGTTATTTCCACCAGAACTATGTATTAAGAGCGCAATCCGATTGCAATTGGCTTTCCATCACAGTCAGTGCGCGGAGCAGTCTGCCAGCCTGGGTGTGTGCAGTGAGTGAGGCCTGCCACCTGTTCCCTTTTTAAGTGGAAACTTCTCACTTGTGCTGCTAATAAACTTAACTTCCTCCGCACAGAGCCATCTCCCTCACCACCCAGCGGGCCCAGTTTGTATTCCAGCCTCCTCCAGGCCAGTCCCGTGACTTGAGACAGTTACAGTATTTGAATCGCGAAGTTTAATGTTTCCTTCGCTTTCTGACCAGACTGGGTTTCCCCAGGAAAAGGGCTATTGTCCTTCCTGCACACTCTTATACCAGGACTAGCCAAACCACCTTGTTCTTTTCACAAATCCGGGAATGAAGTGCTGCCTTCAGAGGAAGGGTTCTCATCCACTGGGAAAACTAAGCAGTCCTTCCTTTCTCCTGGCCACTTTTCCTCCTGCGGCTTCGCTGCCATACTTCAGCCCCTAAGCTTCCCCTGTGTGGCAAGCCATGTGGGCCTGCCCTTACGCACCCCAGCCTGGGGCCGCCTGCTCACACCCGGATGGGGGATCTCAGGGTGGGTTTCATTTCAGTTTATTCCTCAAGCACCAAGAATTATTTATCTGTGGAGCTAATAATTTCTCCTTATCCCTCTAGTTTCCTCTGTTCTGATCCTCACCAGGGGCTGGCTTATTTCTAGGTGGATTAGGCTGAAAAACAGTTCAGACACCCCTTCGCAAGCTTTCCCACTGTGGCTTGTCGAAAAGGGTCCCCCGGCAGAACCAGGGTTAGCAGGTGGAAACCCTTCATTTACTCTAATTGCATTTCTTCCTGTGCTGTCTGGTTGTGTATTTTTTTTTTTTTAGAATAGTATTTACCTTTGACCTTTGTTTCTTAATGTGACTGTTTTGTAAGGGAGTGAGTGACTAAGCTATGCTGAGTTGATATATAATTATATAGAGAGCTCCTGGAGAGCAGAAACACCGAGCCTTAGTTCTTGTAAACACCCTACCCCCAACATATACTAGTTGCTTGATAACTGTTTGGATTTGACATCTAGAGAAATTATGGTGATGGTGATGGCAATGGCAGCCACCACGACTCAGTTGCATGAGAAGCTAGACATAGTGCTGTGTGCTTTATATTTATCTATCTCAATCCCCCAACAGCTCTATGAGATAGCTTTTAATTGCATCCCCATTTTGCTGAGAAACTGTCCAAAGGTCTTTAAAAGATTTACCTGAGATCCTTCAGCTCAAAGGCAATCTCTCTCTTCCTCTTCCTGACCAACCATATACCTTTGCCTGCATGGGGGGCGGGAGGGGGGTAGGTCTCAGTTTTTGTCCACATTGCAGCTTCTTAAAGGCCAGAACAATGTCATATTCTTCTGTATGAGGGATTGGACATTGGACAATGGCTTCATCTTTTGCTTTTCAATTGCACTCCTAGCTGTGCTGTGAAGCATTTAGGGCAGTGATGAGAGACCCTAATTACAATACTGAGGTTGGAAGCACGAAACCAAAGCAGATTTGCAGGTGCCCTGAGGCCAGTGGGCCTTTCCGGCGTGTTCTGAAAGGGGTTTCCGAAGGGCTCAGTGCGGTATTGCCTGGGCTTCACATAAGTTAGGAGGGTGTGCATTTCTGAAAGCAGAACTGTAAGAAACTGAACTGTCAGCCTCCTCAGGATTCTATTGGGATTCCAAGGAATTAGAGTTGGTAGACCCCCATTTCCACACAGTACATAATGGACCTGCCTATAAAGTAGTCACCTCTTATCCATGGTTTTACTTTCCATGGTTTCAGTTACAGTTAACCGTAGTCAGAAAATATTAAGTGGAAAATTCCAGAAATAAACAATTCCTATGGTGTAAATATGAGCATTCTGATAAGCATGATGAGATAGCGTATTGTCCCGCTCTGCCCCACACGGGACATGCGTCCTCCCCTGCCTGCAGCTGCTTAGCAGCCACTTAGCAGCCGCCTCAGTTGTCACATTGATGTTGCCTATCAACACCAGTGCTTGTGTTCAAGTCACTGCGGTTTACTTACCAATGGCCCCAAAGCGCCAGAGTGAGGACACTGGTGACTCAGTGTGCCAGGGAGCCCTAAAGGCTCCTGTGGTGACCAGGAGGGAGTTCTCCACCTCATGAGGAAAGGAAAACATTCTGTGCTGAAGTTGATAAGATCTACAGTAAAAATGAAGCTACCATCCCTGAGATTGTGAAGAAGGAAAAGGAAATCTGCCCTAGTTTTGCTGTTGCACCTCCAACTGCAAAAGTTCTGGCCACAGTGCACGTTCAGTGCTTATTGGTTAGGATGGGAAAGGCATTGAACTTGTGGACGGAAGCCTTAGATGGAAGACATGTTCTGATTGATGCCATGTGTTGTGACAGACGGCATTGAGCCAATCAGCGAGGGGTCCCCGAAACGAGTGACACCAGGCCACTTACTTTAAGTGAGGGCTGGTCACAGATGCAGGACTAGGTTTGTGCTAGGAAATGTAAAACTGAGAGAGAGAGAAAGAGAGAGAGAGAGAGAGAGAGAGAGGGAGGAGAGACCACATTCAACTTTTATTACAGTGCAGGTGACCCTTGAATAACCCAGATTTCCATGAACGTTTTTTTAATAAATACATATAGTAGTCTAAATGTGTTTTCTCATTCTTATGATTTTCTGAAAAGCATTTTCTCTCTGTTCACTTACTTCAGACTAAGAACAATACAAGTATATAATTTATACTTATTACATGTATATAAATACATAGGATATACACAGTACATGTTACTAGAATGTTCACATGATTGTTTGGTCAACAGTAGGCTACGAGTGGTTAAGTTTGGGGAGTCAAATGTTATATGTGCATTTTCGACTGCATGGGTGGTTCAAGAGCCAGTTGTATATTGTTATAATTGTTCCATTGTATTCCTGTTGTTTATCTTTTCCTGTGACCAGTTTATAAATTAAACTTCATCACAGGTATGCATGTATAGAAAAGAACGTAGTACATACAGGGTTCAGTAATATCTGTGGTTTCAGGCATCCGCTGGGGGTCCTGGAACTTACCCCTGTGGATAAGGGGGGACCACTTGCATCGGGGATGCTGACAGCCACCAACAAGACAAGATTGTTCAGTGGGCTGGCCGACCTACCTGCTTCTAGTAGGTGGTCCCGTGAGTCTTCTGTGAGGTGGTCAAACAGCTCAGCTGGAGGGCCTGTAGGCTGAGGTCGAGGACACACGCCGCCCGACTGCGCTGTGTCAGCTCAGCTCATCATAGAAGCGGCACTGGGACCTTCCCACTCACACAGGTCTTGGGGCTGGACCGAGAGCGCCACACCCTGGGGGCGGGGGGTGTCAGGCTGCTGTCTTGTGCCCCCAGACCCACGTGGACATTAGACTCAGGCTGCGGCCCGTGCAGAGAGGAGGGGGCTGCCCCTGGTTTCCCATTCCCAATGCGCCTCCTGCTTCTCATTTTAATTGATCCCATTAACCAAATTTTAATTTATGGAAAATGCTTTCTGATTTTTTCTCTTTCTCTCTCTCTCTTTTTTTAAGGCGATGGGCAGAATTTGTTTACGAAAGACGTGACAGTTATTGAGGGAGAAGTTGCAACCATCAGCTGCCAAGTCAATAAGAGTGACGACTCCGTGATTCAGCTCCTGAATCCCAACAGGCAGACCATTTACTTCAGGGACTTCAGGCGTAAGTGTCCGTCTCTGCAGTGTTCGGCGGCAGTTGATTTCCCTGCGTGTTGTCTTGATAAAGAGATTGCCACGATCCTCTTTTTAGCTTAATGTTAGATGCTTAAAGTTTAGCCAATTCTTCAGGAGAGGAAGAGATGTGCAATCATAATCTTTCTACTTAATAGAAACCTTGAATGGTCCCTTTTAAAAGCAAGGAGGTCTTGCTTTGCAATAGGAATTTATTGTAGCCATTCAAGGCGAATTGCAATTGAGTCCCAATACTTGGCTGATACAAACAACTCAAATAGGGGAAGGCCAGGAAAGTAGGGCATACTAAAAGGTAATCTGTTTGGTTTGAAGATTGAAATTTTCAAGGCAATCTGAACCTATAAAGACAAAACCGAGCCTCCTGTCACCATAGCACCTCGGTATGTGGAGGTGTCCCTGTACGAAAACCTTTGCAAATGCAAGGTCACAGAGGTGAATACTGGACACTTACCTGCATATCCCAGCAAGGGTGCAGAGGGGTGCCCGGGCTGGTGGAGAGCCAGAGAAGGTCTTTTGAAACCTGGTTTGAGAGTCTTGGTGCCCAACAAATAGGTGTGGAGAGTCCCCTTTGCCTTGTCTCTTCCCACCACAGTGTTCATGACTGTGGATAGTTGAATAATCTAAAGAATATTTGAGACAATAAAGGAGAGAAGCCAGGTTTTCATTCTTAGAGTAAATGTTTGTCCTTATGTAATAACCTAGCCTTGGCCAATATTAATATAAGGACTTTAAACATGACTATTCTATATAATAAAAGGCTAATATGCAAATTGTCCCCTAGACCAGGAGTTCAACCAGAGTTTATCCAGGGGGTGGAGCTGGCCAGCCAACCACTCATGGTCCCTCACACAGCTGGCCCCACCCCTGATCACCCCTGTACCCTGATCCAGGTAGGCTGACCAGATACCACCCATGCACGAATTCATGTACCTGGGCCTCTAGTTCGCTATAAAGAAGTAAGTCCACATACACTGCTTTCCTGTGTTCTGCCCAATTGGCTTCCACTGTTCTTAGGAAACTACAGGGTGATGTCAGTCAAGGCCTCCAGGGGCACCTGGTCACCTTCTATCCCTGTAAAGTTCCACCTCAAATTATATCAATAGCTAGAGGCCCAGTGCACAAAATTTATGTACTTGGGGGGATTGGGGGGTCCCTCAGTTCAGCCTGTGCCCTCTCACAATAAGGGACCCCTTGCTCCTTACCGCTTGCCTGCAGCAGAGGTGGGAGAGGTGCCTGCCACCATTGCTGTGCTCACCAGCCGTGAGCCTGGCTTCTGGCTGAGTGGCGCTCCCCCTGTGGGAGTGCATTGACCACCAGGGGACAGCTCCTGCATTGAGCATCTGCCTGCTGGTGGTCAATGTACGTTATAGCAACCAGTCGTTCTGCCAGTTGTTCCGCTGTTTGGTCAATTTGCATATTAGGGCTTTATTATATAGGATACCAAATACAAAGATACATCCAAACCATTTCAGTAAGGGCTGAACTCTGATGCACTGAAGCGGAGGGCATGGGGGGTGGGGTGGGGGTGAGAGTGTGTGTGCATGTATATATATACACACTCACACGTGCACAGGTTACTTTGGACAGGTTACTTGTCCGCGTGTGGTTAGTACAGAAGCCCCGACAGTAGTAACTTGGGAAGTACAAAGGGTACCTCCCCTCCGGGTGCGGGAGACTCGATGTTTCTACTCTGCCGCTGCCTTTCCGGGTGCCCGCATCTCCCTGCGCTGGGGTTCCCTGTCTCAGTCACAAACCCTGTGCTTTGTTCACAGCTTTGAAGGACAGCAGGTTTCAGCTGCTGAATTTTTCCAGCAGTGAACTCAAAGTGTCGCTGACAAATGTCTCCATTTCTGATGAAGGAAGATATTTCTGCCAGCTCTACACCGACCCTCCGCAGGAGAGCTACACCACCATCACAGTGCTGGGTGAGAGGCAGCGTCCAGGGGAAGGGGCTGTTCTTGTCTCGGGCAGGCCCGCCACCCGTCTGGCGGAATTTTTAAAGTAGCCTGTTTTGCCAGACACTCTAGGGACACAGCCAGCCTGTGCAGATCCCACCTGCTCTGGGGCTGCAGACCGCAGGCTCCGGAAGCAAAGATCGGGAGGATCTGGAACCTCAGGTGAATCCCTCACCATGGACAGGCCATTGCTCTGGCTGCTAGGATTGCTCCCTTCTGTGCAGGAGGGGCTCTGCTATGAAACCCGCCTAATGGTTTGTCCTTCGGAGTTACACCTCCTTTAATGCTGTCCTCCTTTTCCTCATCGCCTTGTTTATTGCTTTCACTCTAGATCCGTGGTCAGCACACTCGCAAGCCACATGCGGCTCTTAGGCCCCTTGAGTGTGGCTCTTCCACAAAATACCACGCAAGTCTATTTTGAAGAAGTGGCATTGGAAGTTTAAGTTTAAAAAAATGTGGCCCTCAAAAGAAATTTCAATCCTTGTCCTGTTGATATTTGGCTCTGATGACTAATGAGTTTGCCGACCACTGCTCTAGATCATGCAGTAGAGATCGTATACTTGGCCCCAGAATTGCCATAAAGAATTAGGAGCTCCCAGGACGAGAAGGCTGCTGATGGGCCACTGGGCACCTCTGGAGAGTCTGCATCTTCACTTGTGGTCACCAGATTGTGGCTTTCGGCAAATCCCAGTGGCCAGATTGCCATGTGTGTGTTTTGCCAAGGACCCCCTGTGTTGGGGGAGGTCAGAATTGGTCTCCTTTTAGATAGACTTACACTCCAGTGCTCACCACTAGCTGATCAGATTTCGAAACCAAGTTTTCAACGACACACACTGCAGCGTGAGGCAGGCTCTCTGATTTGCACCTTCGGGGAGGTGATGAATCAAAGTCTATTTGAGGCGGCAGGCTGCAGCTTTCGGTGGAATGATGGGAAGATTAAAGAGGAAAGACAAATATGAAGGACAGTTTTGCTTGGTGTGTGTAACCATATATGTATGTATGGATGTACACATTGAGCTACTGCCTCATTACTTTATTTAAACACAGCTGTAGAATGAATTTTTCTATTCTTTAAAGTAAAACATGTCCCTAACACTTACATTCGTGCTCTTGATAAGAGGACTACTGACTTCAGAAAGCCATATTCCAGGTCTGTCCATACAGTTTCGAATGTGGTCTGTGTTAATGACGGCAGCTGTCAGGTGTTCCTGTTTGGCCCACGCAGACCTGTAGAAGTAGGGAGCGTGGGGGGTTTGGCTGAGACAGCTGTCCAGTGTTTTGGAAATGTACCAAAATCTTGAGCATGCATTGGACCTTTCCTGTGCATCTGCTTGTACAGAAGCATCTGAGAACACCGTTTGCTGATTGGAGTACGTCATTAGTGGCCTGGACCTCAACGTCACCATTCACCCACTTCCCACCATAGTTTATGGCTTTTCAACAAATGACAGCAAAAAAATGGAATATAATTACGGATTCTGAATGTCTTGTTACATATGCCTTTTAGTATGAATGTCTTTATTTCAAAGAAAGGAATAGTAATAGCAGAGCTCGGTCATCTGCCCAGTGACAAGCACAGAGTGAGAACCAAGAATGAAGGCTGACCCAGACCTCATGTTTTCTCAGACCTCATGTCTTCTAGCCTAGGTTGCTTTCAGTCAAGTCCTGAACCTGCCTTTCTGGATGTGTTCCCTGGAAGATTTCAGGAGTGTATCTGCCCCTTGGGAAGCAGTGTGTGCCTGTCTGTGTACAGCGTCTGGCACATTTGTCCTCGGGCCCCCTGGGCACGTGGTCTGACTGTGCACACCCAGTGCTTTCTCAGGCCCCCTGGCCACATGGTCTGACTGTGCACACCCAGTGCTTTCTCATGCCCTTGCGCACGTGGTCTGACTGTGCACACCCAGTGCTTTCTCAGGCCCCTGGGCAGGAGGTCTGACTGTGCACACCCAGTGCTTTCTCAGGCCCCCTGGGCAGGAGGTCTGACTGTGCACACCCAGTGCTTTCTCAGGCCCCCTGGGCAGGAGGTCTGACTGTGCACACCCAGTGCTTTCTCAGGCCCCCTGGGCAGGAGGTCTGACTGCGCACACCCAGTGCTTGGGGGTCAGCATGCCAGCACTAGGCTCTGAAAGGTCTACCTATAATGCTTTTGGAGGCCTGATTATTCTAGAAGAAATAGGTTCCTGCCGATTGTAAAGAAGCATTAACTTAAATATACTTGAAAGTAATGCTACTAGATACTCTCTGCAGATAGTATGCATTCATTTAATATTTTCCCTATTGAATTTGCTGTAGGATTTCTTGATGGAGTAAAATTGTTATCATCAGTGTTTGAGTCTTTCATTTTCCACCATCATTTCATTTCTATTTTCCAAAGCTTTCTTGCTCTAAAAAAATAAATAAATAAAAATAAAAATAAATAAAAAAAAGGAAAGAAAGAAAACTGAGCCCTGGCCAGAGTGGCTCAGTTGGAGTGTCGTCTTGTACGTTGAAAGGTTAGGGGTTCGATTCCAAGTCAGGACAGGTACATAAGAAAATCAATCTCTCTCTTCTTCTCTTTCTCCCTCACCCCCTCCCCCTCTCTCTAGAATCAATAAGCATATCCTCGACTGAGGATCACAAAAAAATCTGAGAGAAGTCACCTTTATAATTGACATCAATATAAGCCATTGGTATTCACATGATCAAATTTCATTTCATGTGTGTAAACCAAACAACTCCTATACTTGACTGTTTCTTCTAGGCTTAGTAAAGATCAGAGACACTGGCTACGGTCTTGGGGAAAGTGTGGACTTGGAAATAATCACTTAACTGCCTCTCAGGCTGCTGTTGTCCACAAGGAACAAGTCCTTTATTTTTCTACATTGGTCACTGTTTCCAACACTTGAAGTTTTCCACAAGTTTACCTCAGCTGTCCAGGCAAAGATGACTTCAGCTTTTCAGGAAGGCATGCCTGGGATTGGCATTGTTAAGGGAATCGCCCTGAAGGGTTAGGGAACTTTGGAGCACAATTCACCTTTAAACAACAGGGTTAGAGTCATGACCCCCTCCACCATCAACCCCTCCCCAGAGGAAATGCACAAAGAACTTTTAGTCAAAACTTATCTGCGAGTAGCCTACTGTTGACTGATAACACAAACAGTGCATTAACACATATTTTGTATGTTATATGTATTATATACTGTATTCTTACAATACAGTCGGCTAAAGAAAAAAACTATTAAGAAAAGCATAAGGAAGATAAAATATATTTACAATATTTATTGAAAAAAAGTCTGTGATAAGTGGACCCACACAGTTCAAACTTGTGATATTCAAGGGTCAACTGTATATCCTTTGCTTAAAAAGGAAGCATTAGCAGGAAAATACTGACAGTAATTAATCCAGATGAGGACCTGTTTGCTGCCATCACTCTGTCCACCCCAAGCAAATTCTAAGAGTTCTCTGGCCTCGTTTTATCCACCCCTTTCTCATCCCCACTCGGAAAGAGCATTCCGACTGTCTCAGTCTTAGGGGGAGCATAAGAAACACCAGTGGAGACAAACAGCTGGTGGAGGTGATGAGGAAAGCTAAGGTATCAAAGGCTCAGCATGAAAAAAGGAGAGAATGCAGGAAGAATACCTGGCGTCACACAGAAAACAGACATCTGACAAAGATCTCATTGACCGCTGAGACATGCCAGTGACACACTGGGTCTGTCCCATCACACAGAGACCTTCATGTGTGCTCCCGGTGCTCTATGGCTCCAGGCTCTGACGGTCTCCGGGCTTACTCTTTCCAGGAACGGGAGCTCCGTGCATGGTGCCACCTTAGCCGCTTGCCTCTGTCATGTCCTCAGGGGCCCACCTTCCTTGCCTACCCCGCACTGGATCTAAGTTTCCTTACAGTGAGCGGCGTCCCATCAATCACAGTGATTGACTCTCATGCCTTCATTTGTGGGGAGGACTTTGCTAGTTTATTTTTTTACTCCTTGGTTGTTTGCCTTTTATCGTTTCTTATTCTGTTCCTTTATAGTTCGCCAAGATCTTATTATCTTTGGGCTCTGGCAGTCTTTTCCTCTCACATTTGCTTAAACAGCATTTTCTTCAGTATCCCTAGTGTACTACACTCAGAATTCAGTAGTCCTGGTTGGCGCCAGACATCTATTCTGTGTTCCCTGCCAACTGTCTAGGTACATGCGATGAGAACCTAGAAGCTACCTGATTGTCCTCCAGCAGCGATAAGCTACGTTTAGGAAATGTCTAGCTGAAGTTGTTCCGTTTACTTTTGTAACTGTCTTTCTGTGTCTCTAAAATGCTAACAGACGTGCAACTCCTAATTGGATATTAGACTCTCTCTTTATGCTTGTTTTTTCCTAAAGTGTAAGCTAGGGTAGTTCTTTCTCATGTTTTACTACTCATTGGGGCCATATCACTTTAGCAACACATCCAATTGAGCAAATGTGCTGTTTTCCTCTCTCACGGGGAATGGCAAGGAGGCCTGCTTCGGGTCTAGGAGGCACCATCACCACCACACTGACTTGCTGAGAAACATATGCAGCAAATCATCTCCTTTTCCACCGTCCTCTCCAGGCATTTCCACCTGCTTTACCTCAGCATAACGGTCCTCCTGTGGAAAGAAGCCTTCCTTTTCCCACATTGGACCAGAGCAGGTGGAAATCCCAAATACGTGCTTTAATCCCATAATTTTTTGAAGCAGTGTCAGATTTATTATTCAGCATGTGTATACATATTTAATTCCTTGTTTCTCTTCTGAGTTGAGGGACTTATTAATCATGTCTCAGAACTGCCTGCTTCTTCGGGGTGGTCAGGGCACATACTCCTAGATTCACGCCACGGATTCGGCATTCTTACTGACTTCTGTTTCAAGAAGCCGGCGCCTCATATGAAGTTTCACTGTTGCTCAGTGTCATAAAAATAACATAATTTCTTCATCATTGTCATCATCGTACATACTCTTGATTTGATATTCAGAATTTTAGCCACAAAATATTTTTATTATATTACAGGTATGTTTAATATACTTAGAGAAAGGTGGTTTTAATTCTGGCTAATAAAACTACATGCAACTACTTAGTGGTCTTTTCTACCTTTGGTTTCCAAAATCTGGGGCATTTAGAGTATGGAAAGTTACTGCTAACGAGTGGGCATTTTCTGCATTACTGCATCTTCACAGAAGGATTTTGTTATGTGCCACCCATCGGAGGTAATGACTGCATTCTGGATCTCTGTGAGTGGTTCTGATTGAATGGAACTGGTTCTGAGGCGCACTTTTCTTTGGATGCTCATGGTGAGGGATTCTTTTAAGGGACTCCAAGTTTCTGAACTTTGCTGGTTGACTGTAGATTCTTTCATATGACGATTGAAATCCAAGGGTTGAGTTTAAGGAGAAAGATTTCTTTCAGAGTCTTCCAGGTAAGGATGACACCTTGAATTGTGTGTAGTCCTCTTTGATCGCTTCTTCTGGTCAATCTTTAAATGACTGTAACTAATCTAACATCTGTGTTGTTATAACTTGATCTCTGGTAACTGAGGTGTAGGAGACTGGTCATTTTGTGAGATACTTTAGGACAGAAATTTTGATGAGAGAGATTGTGCCTAATTCACTTTATTTGATGATGACTTTGTATTTTTCCTTCCCAGTGTCAGTTTGTTTTACATTCCCATCAGAAATGTCCATTACGTGTCTCTCATCTGAGAGCAGTGGTGCTAGTTTCTCATGAATGGAAGGCTGCGTGCAGTAGATTCTGTGTGTAAATGCACACACGTTTGCTTTGCAGTCCCACCACGCAATCTGGTCATCGACATCCAGAAAGATACGGCTGTGGAGGGCGAGGAGATCGAAGTCAACTGCACGGCCATGGCCAGCAAGCCAGCCACGACTATCCGGTGGTTCAAAGGCAACACGGAGCTCAAAGGTGAGGTGCCTCCAGGCCCCAGAGGCGGTGTCCCTTTGGGGAAACAAGAGGGAAATGCAACCCATGCCCCAGAACAAAGACATTCGTCTAGAGGTGGGCTACCCTCACGTACTAAACATGTGGGGGCAAAGCATAACCCGTGTCCTCATTCTGTGGTTTGAGGGTTTGTGGTGGTGGAAGTCACCGTGACCTGGAGCCACTGTGAGAGCTGCCCCAGGGCTCAGGCCGCCCATGCTGTTCCCTCCGTTCTCCTTGCGTTCACCCGACGACTCGGGGTGGTCAGAACTCCAAGTCCTCACGGTATCCATTTAAGAAACAACATATGTCAGCCTTTACCATGTGAACTGCACGTCGCCTACCACCGGCTGCCCTGTCAGCTGCCCAGTGTGCCCTCTGCGCAGTGGCTGCGGGGCGCGGAGACGGTCACCTTCCTTGTGAGTTAGCAGACACCACCTTGCGTGTGAAACCTACCGTACAATCGCCCGTTTCCCTCGCTGTGCTTTTTGCACAGTGTCTGGTGCAGTGGCCAGCAGGCGGCCCCTGCTCCCCCTGTCTCCCTGGCTAGGCCATTCCAGGCTTCGGTCCTAGAGCTTAGAGAGCTGCTTCCTTACCCTCTTGGCCCCTCCCCGCCTCTCCTGTCAGATATCCTAAGCCCTCCCCCTCCCTGCCCCTCCTGTCAGTTATCCTAAGCCCTCCCCCTCCCCGCCCCTTCTGTCAGTTATCCTAAGCCCTCATATGTGTTAGCATCTGGTTCTCTCCTTGGGGAGGTGGCCTTTCGAGTCGCAGCCAGCACAAAGGACTCGGCTGAGCTCCCAGTCACATGACAGAAATGCCGCCGTATGCCTCCATTCCTCTTATGGGGATAGTGATACCATATACAGCATGTGGTTCTTAGGAAGATGGAAGGAGTGAATATTCACAAGGCATGGAGCTAGTGTCTGGATGTGCTTGTTGAGTAGATGAAGGCACCTGGAGGAAAGGAACAGTCCTGAGAAAGGGGACGTAAAGGTCTCTACGTAGAACCAGATAAATGTGTGTAGCAGCTCAAGTTTCAAAAAGCTCGCTCTGTTTCACTCTCCGTTCCTGGGTGTGGTTTTGGAAGGAAGGAGAGGAAGGAGTTTCTCATTTCCCCTCTGCTTTTCTGTCTGAGTGAATTGAGCCATTAAATGTGTACCGATATGCACAAAACATTAAAAGAAAGTTAATGGTGCGTCTTGTCCCGGGGAGTGCGGTTAGGAATGGCTGCCTTGGCCTATTCATCCCGTCCGGAAGCCGCCCCCGTGGGCACAGCTCCCCCGCGGGCACAGCTCCCTCTGGCCTGGCGCCCGCGAGCTCTCTGCTCTGCCCGCACCCCGCGCCTGTGGTGGCCTTCCAAAGGTCTCAGAGCTTAAACATTTCAATTACGTTTCCATTATGCAGATCCATTGTGTTACTTTCCCCCTTGATTGAGGCTGGCGGGGGTGGGGCAGGGGCCTTTATACATCTCCTGGTTAAGCTCCTGGGGGCTCTGGGTGATGCCCTGGAATTTCTAAGCCCAATGACAGCCTAGTGGACAGGTCAAGTTCCGATGACCATAGGTGGCATGCTCTTCTCTTCTCCTTTCCTGAACGGAAACATGTGTAATGTATTTAAATGAAAATGGTATGTTATGTGTAGTTGAAATGTATCCCTCTAGATATATCTGAAAGACCACCCTGCCAGGTTGAAAGTAGGAAACGATCATTTTCTCAGCCATCTCCCCACAGATTGTTCCTATGCCAAGTGGCTTCCATCCTCTTTGTATAATGATGCTGGGCTGAGCAGGAGAGCGGAGGGTCTGAACCCAGCGATAGACGTGCTCTCAGCTGCCGGTTTCTCGGTGTGGTTTCTCCCCAGGCAAATCGGAGGTGGAGGAGTGGTCAGACATGTACACCGTGACCAGTCAGCTGATGCTGAAGGTGCGCAGGGAGGACGACGGGGTCCCAGTGATCTGCCAGGTGGAGCACCCCGCTGTCACCGGGAACCTGCAGACTCAGCGGTACCTGGAGGTGCAGTGTGAGTACCCGTCGGGCCATGCTGGCTGCTGTCACACTTACCCAGACAGAGCGGCTGGTGCTTATACACAACAGCAATGGCTTTCTCAGGGTCCTGGAGGCTGGGGGTCCGAGATCAAGGCTCAGCACAGTCACGTTCTGGTGGAAATCGCTTCCTGGTGTACGCTGGCACCTTCTCGCTGTGTCCTCACACGGAGAAGGGGCTGAAGAGCTGGTCCTGTCCCATAGGACATTGGGGCTTCAGCATACGGATTTGGGAGACACAACATTCACGCTGTAGCAGTGCCCCTGTGTTCCGTTCTGAGGGCCCAGAGCAGCAATTGCTTAAAACACTTCAGAAGCCGTTTTTTGAATGCATATGCTTTAGGCAGTATAGATAGAGTTTTAATCTAGTTGTCTTGGTAGAAGAAATAAGCAAAGGATTATTTCACTGAAACACAGCCATTTTACTGAGTGCCAATGTGGATTTCGAAAATACCAGATTTAACCCTAATATGAAACTTTAAAATGATTCCAATCTGCTCTAGCATATGAGTTAATTACATTTTTTTTTAATATTGACTATAATCATTTCTATGTCAACTTCAAAATCTAGGGCAATCTTCTCTCCCCCTTTTCTAACCCCATCATAAGCGCTGAAGTTTTTATAGGAGAGACTGTATTTGCATTCAGCAGTTTGCTTCAAGTTGCACAATCTCTTCCATTTTTAGCTTACGTGACACAGTGAGTCTAAAAGTGGAAGGAACCCTCTGGGCTCAGTGCCACAGCCCTGCTGGCTTCACCCATAAAAGCCACCTCGTGGTGAGTGAGCTATCTCCTCACTGTGCCCCGTGGACAAAAGGTGTTCTCTCCGTCTTCTTTTCTGGGCTCTCCAACTTGTGGAGGGGGAAAAAAATACCTGTTTTCTGCACAAAACGGTGCCCACACCAAGGCTGTGTCTGAGTAACCACCTCTCATTTCCCATCAGAAGGCTCCTGGAGCTTGGCCTTGGGTGTGCAGAGTGAAAAGGCTGCCGGTGTTGGGTGGGGTGGCAGTGCCTGGGGTCTGGGAAGGAAATGCGTTGTCCTCCGTGAATTCTTCCATTACTTCCCCAGGCCGCTGTAACATGGCCGAAAACTGGTGGCTTAACACGGCAGAAACGCACTGCCTCCGGTGCTGGGAGACCGCAGCCGGAGAGCGGGTGTCGGCAGGGCCGGACTCCCTCTAACAGCTCCGGTGAGGCGCGGCCTGCCTGTTGCGGCTGCTCGTGGCTCCAGCTTCCTTGGTCGTGGTTACATCCCTCCCTTCTCTCCTCCATCTGGACGTGGCTCTCCTTTCCTGTTTGTCTCTTCTAAGGGCACTGGTCATTGGACATAGGGCCCCAGGCAAGTCCAGAATATTCTTATTTCTAGATCCTTTTTAACTAGTTAAAATGTAAAGTCATCTGTAAAGACTCCTTTCCCAAATGAGGTCAGTCCCAGGCTCCCAGGGTTAGGAAGTTTGGGGACCACCACCCAACCTCCTGCAGCCTCTCTGTGTTTAAAGGGAGCAAAACAAGGGATTGGGCAGGTTACAAACAGTTTCTCCTAAAAGACCACCGTCCCATTCCAAGCCTTGCTTATTTACTCTGTGAGCTTGGCTCAATTTAACATTACATAACTCAGGTTTTCCTTGTTAATTCATTTCCTTACTTCATTATGTAGCTTCATTATGGCAGCCGCTTTATAATTTTCATATCACTAAAACTATTGTGGTGTGATGTCCCTATAATGGGAAAACATAAATGATCAGATGTTATCTAAATTGGCAGTTAGTAGATTTCTTTTGACTTTGCTAATATGTAATTCACTTAAGCAAACTTAATATCCATTAACTTCCCTTGTAGGGGCCCATTAGCTTCAATAATGCATTAGCTCCTTTGTGAGACCTGCGTGGTACTCTCCCAGTTCCCACCCCCAAACTCTTTCAGTAGCTTCCCCAGAATACCTTCCAACAGCACACAACCCACCCACCTACAACATGGCACTCACACCCGGTGCTCAGCGCTCCGAGCACTACCCTCCAGCCCTGGGGAGACGTGATAACGATATTTATAAGCTTCGTCTTCCTTACTGTGTAGATTCAGGTGGCCTTTGTCCCTTAAGAAAAGAAGTAAAGCACCACATCTCCATACATTTTACTTCAGCCACAAAGCGCTGCCAGTCCCTCGCTGCAGGGGAGGACCGCAATGCCTTCAAGAAGGGGAAGACGCAGCTGCTGATCCTGTCTCTAAGGCGGCATCTCCTTATGGGAGGCTCTGCTCCCTTCTTCCCATCAGCCACACACACATTTCATCCCTGATGCTCCATGATTTGGAATGTATATAAAGAAAAAAGTTTCCTTGCATAAAAGAAGGCTAAGAATCGCAAAGCATCACCGTAATCTGCGAGGAATTGGGAGTCTGGTTTGGCGCCTGAATGAGACTTGCTGCTCAGGAAGGTCGCTGCAGGCTCATTCACACCCCTGTATTCTCAGAGCACAGTGAGGGCTTGCTGAGTCAGCCAGGAATGCCCCAGTAGCTTCTTCAGCCGGCGGGATTCTCTCCATCACTACCACGGCTGCACTCAGGAACCCAGCTGCTGTGCACAACAAGGAGCCTCAGGCCTCAGACGCCCATGGCGCCGGGTCACTGGGCACCAGGCTTTCTCCATGTTGGCCCTGGTGTTGGTGACTGGGCTCCGCTCTCCCAGGGGAGCCTCTCTCTGCAGACAAGCCGTGCCATCTGGATGGCCGTGAGGAAAGAAGAGGCACTTGAATGCCTGAGGATCGGTAGCCAACCGGCATGGACCGGGAATCATTTTGGATGCCCTGTGAGAAGGAACTGTAGCCCATTATTTATTTATTGGCTCAGACACTTAGAGCGAGCAGTCTTTAACCTTTTCTGGGGTCGCTGACCTCTTTAAAAACCTTTTGATAGCTGCAGACCCGGAAAAGATTAACAAAATTACATATTCACTGCATTTTGCTCACGATTTAAGAAGTCTGTTGACCCTCCAGCTTTCCTAACTTCAGTTACTTGAGGGCCACTTTCACAAATTTTGCCATATCAACACGTTATCTGTGTTCCTGCTCTTTTAGAATTTATCTTTACGTCACTTTATTGCTTTAGCCTACCCAAAACCCATATAAAAGATCTATAAAATTATGAGTTTTATTTACTATGTATATCTAATAAATATTACCTAAGTAAATATATAACTTAAAAAGACATACAACTATTAGGGTTTTTTTTTTAATATATTTTATTGATTTTTTACAGAGAGGAAGAGAGAGGGATAGAGAGTTAAAAACATCGATGAGAGAGAATCATCGATCAGCTGCCTCTTGCACACCCCCCACCAGGGATGTGCCCGCAACCAAGGTACATGCTCTTGACCGGAATCGAACCTGGGACCTTTCAGTCCCCAGACTGATGCTCTCTCCACTGAGCCAAACCGGTTTCGGCCTCAAAAGATTTCTTATATCATTTGTGATAAATATGAACTTATCACCAGGAGATACTGAGTTCACCCACGAACCTCGGAGGAAGAACCGGTCTACTCCGGGTGGATTCGGCTGCCTCGGGGGCTGCGCTGACCTGATAGGATGAGCACTGAGTATACTCACTGGGCTCATTCTGTCACATGAAGGCTTATGGAAACCCTCTCTCATCTGAGAGGATATGAACAGGGTTAAATGACACATCAGGGATTAAATTCTAGATAAATGATGTCCTCCTAAGAATACTATTTTTAAAAAAGGAAATGAAGTAATGAGAATCTACATGGTATGCCATTACATATTTTATGTTAAACGCACCAGGAAAAGGAGAAGAGAGAGAAAATGCGCACAGTGCCCCCAGACTGCGTGGAAGACAAGGCCTGAGCTACAGCTTGGAATTGCTTTTGTCTTGTGGATTTAAGTCCTAATTAACTGAGCACAGAACTTTGCAGCATTTTTTTTTTTTGTTAGGACCCTGTCTATATTTTGTGGTATCAGGAGAAATTGTTTTGCCCAATTATGTGAAAAATCAGCCCGAAGTGGAGGCTGTCACATTTTTAATAATCCTTAGATTTTTTTGGTGAGTGTGGATATTAATTGTGCAGTATGCATTGAAGTGATTAACGTCAGTGTAATTTATCATCTGGAGATTTCTGAACATAAATAAACGAGCTGTTTTGTTCACAAGGTGTTGACCCTTTCAGAAGTGGAGAATCAGAGCGGCCCCTCCCCCCTTTCCGTATAAATATGAAAGCGCCACAATCAGCCAAGTGTTCAGTTATTTGATTTTCTGGGGCATTAGCTGCTCTTGTTTGTGACATTTCCCTGTTGGGTGCTCGTTTGCAAGCTCATTAGTAAGGTTTTCTCATAGGAGCATTGCTGGGAACGAAGAGCGTACAGTAGGGCTCTCCGCTTTCCAAGCTTTCGCTCGCAGCCCGACAAGGACACAGCAGCATGCAGCTAAATGTTTAAAGCAGGGGATAATTGTACTTGCCCGCTGCAATTCAAAGCTCTCTTCCCTTAGCTGTTGGGCAGGAGCCGGTTTTGCTTTTGAATGTTCTGAGCTACGTGACCCTGGGTTCTCTCTGTGCGTTTTTCCTTGCGAGGTGCGCAGTGTTGGTTAATTATAGCAGAGCCGAGCCCCGTGCAATGGGAACCGCTTAGCGCGGCCTCCCGTCCGAGGGGAGCGCACGCTGGTCACATACTAGCCTGTGTGAGCAGGAACAGCTCGCAGTCTGTGCCCTAAAAGAAAGCTGTCTCAACAGCATCAAGGTGGCCACACAGCGACAGGAACTGGGAGCTGGAAGGCAGGCTGGGACCTCAGCGCGGAAGCCAGGTCGCGGCTCCGATGGGAAGCCTCACTGTGGACTGAGGTGTCCTCCGGCTCTTGAATTGCTGCCCTGTCTGTTGCTTTTGCCCATCATAGCCTTGCTCTTTAAGATGTTCTTGCCGAACTCCTCATTCTGTGAGGGTTTTGTGTGCGTGTGCATATTTGTAAAAAAT